TGGATTGGAGGGCAATTCGACTGAATTCAGTGTTCAGGGAAACGTGACAGCAGTATAAGGGGGACCCCTCAGCGGGTCTTCTCACTTTATGTTAACCTCTGAGTGTGATCATTAGCACCCAGGAAGGACTAACAGTTTACAAAATAATACTCTTTATTATTATCATGACAAATTAAGGTTTGTGATTGCCAGTGATAGGTACTGTCAGCAAAAACAAGCTTGAAGCAGTACACAACCAGACAATAATCACAGAACAGCTAGTGTTAGTTATTTACTGCACGTAAGATGGATAAAAGCTCTTATGCAACAGGCAACCACTATGAGGGAGAAGACAGATTCAGCCCATCGACCAATCCCAGAAGTTACAATGGACTCTTCCCTGTCTCCACCCCTCTCTCGTTCACTTTTATACTTTTCTGTAATCTCAGGTGGAGCTGAGTGACTCTAGTCATAAATATTTTTATTACTGATTGGTGTAAAATTCGCTCACTTCTCATTTAGAGATATAGCCAATAAAAAATACAAAGTGCATGCTCAGTGAGGGGTGGTCATACCTTGGAGGTGGGTAACTTTGGGATGGAGGTCTGCGTATTATAATAAGCAAGGTTCACCTAAGGAAAGTGATTTCGCCACAGTTGTTGGCTCAGTAACAGACATCTCTTGTGTTTCCCATTTGACCACTGCTGTACAGGTTAGCAGCTGTATGGTACCATCAAGTTCCCAGTCCTGCAGGGAGTATAACAGAGCCTGGCCGCGGTGTCTCCACTCCGCTCCACCCACCATTGCTCCTCTAGGATAGCAGGTTCTGTTGTCTAGGGAACCGTGGTGGAGTAGATTCCGTACACGCCAACCATCCTGAGAGAGGCAACTGTATTTTACCCTAAAAAAATTTCTATAATACTACAACTTCTGTCAGACCCCAGTTTCCTCTTTTTCCTCCCCCCCACCCCCTGAGTGATTTTTCCACACCAGCACACTTTTTTCTCATTTCCCCCAGCGAAACCACAATTTAATTATTTTTATTTTTTTATTTTGGTAATTTTAAAGTATCTGGCATTCTATTTTGATCTTAAAAGTGAACAAATAAACTGCAAAGTAATCTTTCAAGGAAGTTATTTCCAGCTGTAAACAGCAGCTTGATTAATCCAATCAGATAATTATCGTTTTAAAAGGGCATGTAGCCATAGGACAACGGGAAATAACTTTAAAGAGGGTGGATTTAGATTAGATATAAGGAATTCTTCACTGGAAAAGGTTGCCCAGAGAAGTTGTGGCT